TACGAGATGGGTGTTGAAGCAAATTTCTCATCCAGTCCTACTGTGGCAAGTTATTTGCTGCAGTTCACTTATTTTCGTCTTCCCCTCATGCTAAATACATGTGCATTCATACAGTGGCGTAGGAAGGGGGGTGCGGTGGGTGTGGGCCGCCCCGGGTCCCATCACTGAGGGCGGTGACAAAATGGCAAAAATATGTGTTTTTGAAAAAAATAATTCCCACACCCACCGCACGCCCCTTCCTACACCACTGCAGGAGCACTCTCCCCTGAAGTGATTTCCAGAAGCCAGAAGCTTTGCTGCCTCCAACTTCGCAGGCAGAGCACAGCCTTTTATGGCTAGTAGCCTTCTACAGCCCTCTCCTCCATGAATCTGCCTAATCCAGAGGTGTAGCTAGGTTAAGGTTACCAGATCTTTTTCAAAGAATCTGGGGACACTTCTTCTTTCTTTCTTTTTTTGAAAAGAGAAAAAAAAGTTATTTTAAAAAAAGTTTTGTTTTTAAAAAAAAGAAGTAATATCTTCTCTTCTGTGGTCTCCTCTGTTGCGTGGCCTTCCTCTGGGCCCCAGCCTGCTCTCTTGGAGTGCTAGCCGCCATGGAGTAGGCTCAGGTTGGGCCTGGGATCAGCCATGTGTCCTTGCCCTCCCGGTGCTCTCCTACCTCTTTTCCTCAGCGGCGGCAGCAGCGCGGCAAGGTTGGGGCTCCCCTCTTTTTTCTCCTTCCTCTTTCTCTCTCTTCCTTCTCCTTCACCTCTTCTCCTTCTCTCTGCGTCAGCTCAGGGTTTTTCCTGGCCCCTGAGTGCTGCTCTCAGCTTGATTTGGGTTGGGGGGGGAGTCAGCGGTTCCCCCAGTTGATGCACCGGGCGTCCCTGGTTCCCCTTTGGCAGTGGCAGCGGCAGCAGCAGTTTCAGCAGCCTGGAGCCAGCCTGGTAGCGTAGTTGCCTCTGGCTGGCTTCAGGAGCTGCTGACTGCCGTGGCGCCTGCCATTTTGCCTCGCCGGAAGCCCCCATATGATGTGACTTGTGCCATTGAACCAATCACACAACATTCATTCCTTAATAATAAATCTACAACACTTAAAATATAAATCTGGGGACATTAAAAGAAATCTGGGGACCTTCCGGGGATGGATTTTGTCCTGGGACAAATTTGTGAATCCGGGGACTATCCCCTGGAAACAGGGATATCTGGTAACCATAAGCTAGGTGAGGCGGGGGGCACCGGGTATCATGCTGCGGGGCCGGCAGCATGTCTGAGCCACACATCTCTCCTGAGGGGAAGGCGGCGGGCGGACTGCCTGCAAACTGCACACTGCTTTTCTCAGCAGCATGGGGCTTGCATCTGCCCACCGCCTCAGCCGCCCTACAGTTGAAGGGGAGGTTGTGGAGGGGCTCCACGCAGCGTGCCCTGCTTTGGCTCGCCCCGCCTCCATGGGCAGCTTGCCCCGCCCCCATAGGCGACTCGCTCCACCCCCGGTTGCAGGGCACGCACGCCGCCCCAGGCACCTGAGTAGTTAGCTACGCCACTGCATTCATACATAAATGGAGAATGGTTCCTAAATGATCAAAACTTACACATATTAAGAGAGCGAAGGCACGGACACACACAAAGAGAGAGAAACCTTAGAATGCATGGAATTCTGGAACAGGTTAATTGTAAAGCAGCACTGAATTTCTGTGTCTCAAACTTTGTACGTCCGTGCGCCCTGTGAGATGCTCTTGACAGTGATGCATGATCAGGCCTTTTCATCAGCAGCACAGATTATGGAACTTGCTCGGCACCCCAGGAGGTTCAGTTCTTTTCAACCTTGAGTGCATTCAGACAGCAGGTGAAAACTCTTACGATGCTTGAACAGAGCCGGCCCACTGATAAGGCATGGTGACACACCCGCCTGAGGCAGTGGAAGCGCCTGAGGTGGGGCTGCGCCTGCCCCCACTCTCACCAGCAAGCAGGGGACAGATAAGAAATTATAATTTATGACTCAGACAATATGGGGTCCAAAATCATAGTCAATATAGCTCCCCGATATTTTTTCATCCAGCCAGAATTATTTGCCTTGACTAGCAAATGCATCCACCACACTTATAGTCAGCATTGTACTAAAAACTCCATAATATGGAAATGATATGGAAAAGCAGCTTATGGATACATACAATTTTAACAGTACTTATAATTTGTAGCGTTTTTCACCAGAACGATTTCCCAGGTGGCATTTAAAATATAATAAAATAAAAACTGTTTCCATCATTTAGACTATGCAAAACTGTTGTTCCTCACTGTTTTGTCATCCAAAAACAATGCTTGACTCACTCTTTTCAAACACTGGGAAGCACAATGCCAAAAGTTCTCCTATGTACATGTACAGTAGCAAGCGTCTTTTCTTTTAGTTTGCAATAATTGCCTTGCCTTTTACATTAAGAGAGCAGGATCAAGTGAATAACTGAAATTCAAAAGCAACTTATAAAAGGTACCCATGCAGTTTTCTTTTGTTCCATTTTCCTAAATGTACTCGGAGGCTACTCTGAGAATGATTGATCTGTGTACAGACTGATTCGTCACCTTTTTTAAAATGTATGCAAATTTAGGCTTTTCCGCTAGCTAGTAACATGCTTGAATGGCAGACAATGCAACAAAAATGCCTTTAGACAAAGCTTTTACTGTCCTAAATGCTACAAAGGACCCATTTATAAATCAATCACTCTCTTCCTCTATGCATGCATTGCCAATTGCCTTTTAACATTCCATCCAATCAATGCTCCTTTAACTTTTCGTATTATTTGCTGGCATTCATAAAAGTCACATTTGTTTTAGAAAAAAATAATAATCTAGGAGTTGATATCACCGGGCCTGCTGGCATTTCTTACTTCTTTGTTTTTATTAAAAGTGTTATCAGATTTCACAGATGCACGGAGACATTCAAACTCCAATGCTTAGAGCAAGTATATGACTGGGGGGGGGGAGTGTTTTCAAGCTCTTGTGGGGGGACATATACGCACTGAATGGGGGGGGATTGGCCATACTCATATACCACTAATATCTGCTATTAATTGTTCTTACACACTAATGAGCATCCTGCAGCTGTGCCCACTGCATATTCAGCAGCCCTCTTCAGTTCCACACAGATTCTGATCAAGCATGTTCACCAGTTGGGATTACCATGGTTTGAAATGTCTGTATCCATTCAAACTGTAGGAATCGGCAACACACCAAATGTATGCAATCTTGATGACCCTTTGGTGTTGTGATCCTTTGACATTTTGGCAATTCTGTATCATAACTGACATATGCCCTGACATTTCATTAGGGATCTGACAAATTACTGCATCTGACAAATGTACTGATTGCAATTGCTAACACACTGCTGGTTCATGAGTGAGTGAAACTGGCCTCTCAAATGTTTCATAGTGGAGCTTTTTGGGTTGCACTTTCAGACCTTAACAACAAACAAAGAAACCTTATTCCATTAGACACTGGGATTATTTCATCGTAAGCTTGTCAGCCAGTGTTTACAAACCAATAAAAACCTGCAGTGCTTTCATACTGCATGTTTAATTATGTCTGGTAAAATGAAAAGCTGCCAGTGTTTTGAAAGAGATATGAATTGTTCTGTAAGTTTTGTTGTTTTAAAATTGCTATTTACTACAGAAGCTATGATATCACTCTCAACACAAACAGCATGCATACAATGACTGAATCACTTTGTGCTTGCAGTTATTTGCTGCTTTCCATTTATGAAACATGCTTAGCCCCTTGTTATCAGCATATGAGTGTGTGTTTGTGTGTCGCTAAGAACCTCATAAGGGGGGGGGGAGATGTTTGCACAATGAATTCATTTTCTTTCATTCTGTACCTATTAAGAAGTTCAAGACAAAATTGGGCTTCTGTTTCCTCTCAGAGTAGAGAAGTGCAATGGCTTGATCCTAACATCAAGAATTTGTACTGCACTGCAGGCTCAGCTGATGTTAATCTACCCAGCGTTTAACAGGCCATGTCTACCCTGCAGCATACCTTTTACCTAGAACATTGGTACTGACAACATCTGGGAGTTTATAGCTACTCCCAGTCATGGATCATTTGACTGTACCCAGTAGGATGGGCAGCAATGACTTGGCTCCATGGAATGGCAATACATCACACTGAAAGACCAAAGTGTTTGGTTTCTGGAGACTAATGGAGCTTGCACTTTTCTTCCTTGGACTGGACAAGCCCTTGGTAGTTTCCAACCCATCCTCAAGTCAGAAAGTGAGAAACCAAAAAGGGGAATATTATGAATGCTATGTGTAATTTTCGACGACCTGGCTGATCTGAGAGCCGTTTACCCAAACATTACTTTCTTGTGGTCCTCGTTGCTTGAGAGGAGGACATGGAGGGATTGTGTGAGCCCGGTTGGAATCAATAAAGCAAGAAAGGTCTTGGAGCGGGCAGTGGAACGTAGAGTGGCGGCTCTGGGTGGGTGTGTCATTGGACACCCAGGCATCCAGCATAGCAACGAGGCCCTCTACAGATGGGATGGCGTCCATCTGTCCGATACTGGAAATGATATTTGGCTGGGGGACATCATAGCAGGGATTAGGAGTTGGTTGCAGATTTAAAGGTATTGGCGGCGAGCTTTGCTCGAGTGGCGGTTAGGCATTGGCAGGGGGTTATTGTTATGCAGATGGATTGGGGGGGGGAGGAAGCGCCATCACCTTCCCCCAAGAAAAGGGTAGTCCGGTAAAGGACTCCGAGGGGCGTTGTCTTGTCCGAAACCTAGGGAGGTGAGGGCCTCCGGCACGCCCCCCGAGCGGTAACACCCGTGGGATCCTAGTTGGCGTACTTCAACAGGACTCCCACGGTTTGTGGTTAACCCTTACCGGTCAGCATGCCGGGTAGTCGATAGGAGCCAATGCCTAAGGCCAATACCTTTCAATTCTGTAATCAATAAAGTTGTGGCCTTTTATGCCCATTAACCTAAAACAACGTGTCCTGTGTCTTCATTTCTCATGGGGGAGGGGCCTCGCCACGCAAAGCCCTTTCCGAACTCCGGAGGAGAGGGGGTTGCGGGCGACACCTCCCACACACGCGGGGCTGGGCTAGCCCCGCGAGATCCAGGGAATCCCCGGGCGTGCCTGCATCCCGACCCGCCAATCGGCGGGTCGGGGAGGCGTGGCCTACCCTACTTAAGGCCAGGCACGTCCGGGGACCGCCCTCTTTCCTTTCGCCAGCTGAGCGGGTTTTCCCATCCCACCCACCCTTAGGCTTAGCTAGCTTTGACCTTGCTATGGACTTCGGTTGGTCGCCGCAAGGGGCCTGGTAGGAATTTTTCCAAGTTGGCGCACTGTCTGCCTTTTGGTTTTTTCGCCTACCTCGTAGCAATTCGTCACAACTTCCGCGGTATTTGGCGGTTAGGCATTGGCAGGGGGTTATTGTTATGCAGATGGATTGGGGGGGAAGGAAGCGCCATCACCTTCCCCCAAGGAAAGGGTAGTCCGGTAAAGGACTCCGAGGGGCGTTGTCTTGTCCGAAACCTAGGGAGGTGAGGGCCTCCGGCACGCCCCCGAGCGGTAACACCCGTGGGATCCTAGTTGGCGTACTTCAACAGGACTCCCACGGTTTGTGGTTAACCCTTACCGGTCAGCATGCCGGGTAGTCGATAGGAGCCAATGCCTAAGGCCAATACCTTTCAATTCTGTAATCAATAAAGTTGTGGCCTTTTATGCCCATTAACCTAAAACAACGTGTCCTGTGTCTTCATTTCTCATGGGGGAGGGGCCTCGCCACGCAAGCTACAGTTAGAACTGGATATGGAACAACTGATTGGTTCAAAATTGGGAAGGGAGTACGACAAGGCTGTATATTGTCTCCCTGCTTATTTAACTTATATGCATCATGCGAAAGGCTGGGCTGGATGAATCCCAAGCCGGAATTAAGATTGCCGGAAGAAATATCAACAACCTCAGATATGCAGATGACACAACCTTGATGGCAGAAAGTGAGGAGGAATTAAAGAAACTTTTATTGAGGGTGAAAGAGGAGAGCGCAAAATATGGTCTGAAGCTCAACATCAAAAAAACGAAGATCATGGCCACCTGTCCCATCACCTCCTGGCAAATAGAAGGGGAAGAAATGGAGGCAGTAAGAGATTTTACTTTCTTGGGCTCCACGATCACTGCAGATGGTGACAGCAGTCACAAAATTAAAAGACGCCTGCTTCTTGGAAGGAAAGCAATGACCAACCTAGACAGCATCTTAAAAAGTAGAGACATCACCTTGCCAACAAAGGTCCATATAGTAAAAGCTATGGTTTTCCCAATAGTGATGTATGGAAGTGACAGCTGGACCATAAAGAAGGCTGATTGCCGAAGAATTGATGCTTTTGAATTATGGTGCTGGAGGAGACTCTTGAGAGTCCCATGGACTGCAAGAAGATCAGACCTATCCATTCTTAAGGAAGTCAGCCCTGAGTGCTCACTGGAAGGACAGATCCTAAAACTGAGGTTCCAATACTTTGGCCACCTCATGAGAAGAGAAGACTCTCTGGAAAAGACCCTGATGTTGGGAAAGATGGAGGGCACAAGGAGAAGGGGACGACAGAGGACGAGATGGTTGGATAGTGTCTTCGAAGCTACAAACATGAGTCTGACCAAACTGTGGGAGGCAGTGGAAGACAGAAATGCCTGGCGTGCTCTGGTCCATGGGGTCACGAAGAGTTGGACACGACTAAACGACTAAACAACAGCAACATGTGTAAGGATAGAACTGTTACAGTGTTCTGGCATGTGCATAACCAGAATTCAATGCTGATACAGCTTGAAATGTCCTTGAAAATCTAGCCTGCCTGTAATTCCTGAATGGGTCATCAGCCCTGATTCTCATGTGCTGAAATGAGGTGTTTGGTCCCCCCCCCCATGTGCCTATGCAGTCTACACAGCTGATGAGAGTAAGCAGTCACACTTAGCATCTGTTCATGGGCCAACAGCATGGAGATTGGCTATTTACAATAATCGTCAATGAAATATACCTGTCCTCCTGGATTACTGGAGTGAGGAAAAGGAAATCATGCAGTTGTCTGGGTAATGTTTAAAATACAATATGTGCCCAAGGTGCATTTGAAAACAGAGGGGGTGGAGAGAGAATTATACAAATGTGTGGAATAAAGGAAAGTTTTCAATCACGTTTTCATTTGTTCTTTCTGTTCCAAAACAGAAAGTGGCTCAGTTCACCCATCGCTAGTTTCAACCATATGAATACAAGTGTTTAGCTGTAGGATGTGCTTTCAATGCTGAAGTGTAACACCCCTCCACATAACTTGCTTTATTCAGCATTCATTTTGATTTGCCCCCACAAAGCTTTCACAGTAGTTAGACTATATACAATCTTTACTGAGCATTCTTTTGATTAATTTATGTGATGGTTATATGACCATGACCATTCATCCTGATTGCCTTGTGGGATGTGTGTACACATCTTCTCGTTAACCATTCTTTCGTCTAACACTTTTCAGTGCATTTCCCTATCGCTTCTGGAACTGCAGAAAGTTAAGTGGATTTGCTGTGGTAGGGCGACAGAGTGCATTTAAAAGTACAAGTCTAATGTTCCGGTATACATCTGAAGCCCTCTTGAAAAGGACAGTGTGGAGGCACCATAGAAGGCACCTGTAAGAAAGATTAGGTATAGGGAAGGCCGAATCTGTTAATTTCATTTTCTCCCATTTTCTCATCCCCACCCCAATCTCACATTCTCTTCTTCACATTTTCTGGGCTTGGTGTGTGTGTGGCTTTATTTTTGTCCTCATGAAAATTTGTCAGAGTTTTAGTCAAGTTCCTGATAATATACAATGTTTGTATGAATTTTTTGCCTAAGTTACACATTTTAGTAAGCCAGTGTTCCCTCATTTCATGGGAGTCAACTCCTAAAGGCAAAGGTCCCTTTGCTCTCCCCAATGAAATATTTGAGGGGGCTGGGCCTCCCCAGAGATGGACATTGTAATTCAAATGGTGTGTGCATTCCACGTCACGGGATTGATTATGCAAGACAGGGCTTACCTGCCCCCTCCCTGATATTTTATTCAAGTTGGCACCTCATTTAATGCATTTTTGTAAACTATGTTCACTAGTATATTCTCTTTTGTACATATTATTTGACTGGAGAGCAGCATTGCAAAATTCAGAGATATGCAAATTTTGAAGTCTATCTCTTTTCTGATGGCTGTGCTTCATATTGTTTTGGAAGTTGTGTATTCATCTTTCAATACAAACATAATTGATTTTTGCCCCCATCCCTAATCATTCATTACACCTATGAGGATACCATTGAAAACCGAATTGCTTGGATGAGCAATCCCCATTTGCCAGAAACTGCAATTACCCATGGTTACAAAACACATATATATTGCACATGTTGTTGTTGTTGTTTTCACTGCATGGCCATGCCAACAATACATTTGCAAAGGCAGAGATGTAATGTGTAAGATACATCAGTTGTATATTTTATTTTGTGAAATAATGGCTTTTTCAGAAAACAATTTTATTTTGCAGGAATAGATGGGAAATGTTAGTCCTCTTCAAATTAAATTACAATGAACATTGTGAGGCTATGCTCGAACATTTCTGAGACTCATTATTTATTTCCCAAAGATTTCAATAACTTTGAATCTTACATGATTACTCACATGAAAGGATTAATAACACAGGGTGCATTTGTTCACAATGGTATAGGTGATATTGTTCTACTCTTACTATATAGGGAAATAAAGGTAAAGGTAAAGGTACCCCTGCCCGTTCGGGCCAGTCTTGCCAGACTCTAGGGTTGTGCGCTCATCTCACTCTAGAGGCCGGGAGCCAGCGCTGTCCGCATCTGGCGAGCCAGCGCAGCACACGGAACGCCATTTACCTTCCTGCTGGTAAGCGGTCCCTATTTATCTACTTGCACCCGGGGGTGCTTTCGCGCACCCCGCCGCGGGGATTCGAACCGCCGACCATGCGATCGGCAAGTCCTAGGCGCTGAGGTTTTACCCACAGCACCACCCGCGTCCTTATATAGGGAAATAGAGGCTAAAAATCATTAGCACAGGAAGAACTGAACATACCGTAGTAATGAAGTTTTATATCCAGCTGTAAGAAAACTGATTTGTTTGTGCATGTGTATGTATGTATGCATGCCAAACTCCATGTGGTGTCAAAGGTTCATGAACTAATCTACCTAAATACATTCTCTCTCTCTCTCTTTCTCTTTCTCTTTCTCTTTCTCTCTCTCTCTCCCCTAAACATAGCTGATGGTCAGATGAAGAAATCTGCATAAGGGCCTTAGTATGGAGCATATCACTTCCCTTCCATAACAGTTCCCTTATTTTATTTATTAAATTTGTATACTGCCCTTCATCTTAAGATCACAGGATGGTTCACAACATAAAAACACAAAATGAGAACACAAATTACATAATAAAGCAAAAACAAACCAATAACCCCCTTATGTAAGTCCATCAGCATAACTTAACTTTTCCCTCAATAGGCTACTGTAAAATTATGCAACGGTTTTGCCACATCAAATATCAATGGCTTCACAAACATGCACAGTTAAGGACTGGCACACCTCCCAAATAAAGTTTACAAAATATTCCAGTGGAATACTACTTAGCACTTGATTCCTCAGTGACCTTTAAGTTCCCTGTTAACAGGAACCTCATTTGTCGAAACAAAATATATCTTTGCTTTATTCTTTATATTACATATTTGTTTTATTGTTGACCAGAAAACAAAAATGACACACCAGGATATTAAGATGTTCCCAGGGTAAGGTATCTGAGCGATGACTTGAGGCTGATTTGAAACCTTAGTATGCTGGATGAACAGAAAGCAATTTGATAATAATAGCAGGTTGTATCTGTAGTCACTACATTTCTGAGAAGAAGTGAAAATTAAATGAATGGCTCTGGATTTCTCTAAGAATTTAGATATGTTCCATCATTCTAGTGCCCAAGGCTCTCTATTTTCATACTTATCATTCTTTTTGTATCCCCCACTGATTTATTTTCCTGAAAAACAGCTCAATCCATTAAGCTCCCAGGTCTGCTTCTGCTGTTTTCAAACAAGACAACCAGAGGTATGTTTGCACCCCTCCTGCATGAAAATGCATTTTTGTAAATTTGCTTTATCAACATTTCTGCCTTTTCAAGAGGACAGATAGCAAGAAGAGAAACCACAATTTATGACCCATGCAAAGGGTTGATAGATACCTGC